AAAATCTTGAGCTCTTGGTCCCTGAGTGAGTTGGGCAGGGGTCCAGTATGGTATCTGCTGCTGCCCACCACTGTTGGCTCTTTGCTGTCAGCAGGAAATCTTGGCAAAGCAAGTAGGTATGTGGCAGTGGCTGCCTCCTTGTCTGTCTAGCTCTCCCACATCTGATAGTAAACAGCAGACATCTTCATTGGGAAAGTGTGTTCAGGTGATATATTTTGTTGTTGAAAAGTCATCAAAAGTTAAAAAAAAAAAAAAAAGTAAAAGAATATGGCCAACATGTGGCTACTGCTTGGATACATCATTCCAATATTTATTTCCAGGTATAATGCCAGCAAAATGGCATATTATTCTCAGTTGCCATAGTAGACCCTTGGTTTTGGTGAATTTAGAGTTTTCCATTTCATTTATTTCCTAGGATCCTGAACAACTTTGGCCTGAACAAGTGGTTGAGCCTGGTAAGCCGTGTATCCATGTTGGCCTCTACCTCTAGCAATTTTTGTGAAATGCCATAATAGTATTTGTGAATTTGGAGATTTGCAAAAATATCAGGGTATATAGCTTTAGAATGTTAGGATCTAAGCCGGGTGCTATGGTACATGCCTGTAATCCCAGCAATTCAGGAGTCTGAGGCAGGAGGATCACAAGTTCAAAGCTAATCTCAGCAATTTAACTCTCAGCAACTTAACAAGAGAGTCTTTCTTAAAATAAAAAGGGAAAGTTCTGGGAATATAACTTAGTGGTTAAATACCCTGGGTTCAATCCCCAGTGCCAAAAAAATAAAAAATTAAAAAATGTTTTTAAAAATTTAATCTTAAATATATATATTTTAAAACCCACATAGTTCCATAAGGCTTATAGTTATTTTTTTTTTAATTGCTGCCTTTTCTTCCATGTCTCCTACCCCACTTCCCATGTGAATTTGCCTCCCCTTACTCCTAATATCCCATGTTATGACTATGTAAATCTTGTCTGCAAATGAACCACTTGGTATGCTACAACTAAACAACCTCTTATTTTTCCTGGGGCTAATCATTGCCTCATTTAAAAATTTTCTTGTTTCTTTAAGAATGTGTTTTTACACTTTGATGAAACTGCTAAAGGCTTCCCATTCTCATCCACATCAGGTGATCTATCCATTCCTTTTTTTTAAAAAAAACCCTTAGAGATTTTCTTCTTGGCTACTCCTTCTTCCTCTATTCTAGTCTGAACTGGTTGTTCTTGGCCCACTGCCTAGTTGTCATCTCAAGCTTTATCACCATCTAAAATTCTCTTTGCCTGTCTTCTGTGGTGGGTATTCTGTTTTCTATGTTGTTCCTTGATCTTTCCCTGATTTATTCTCAACTTTACGGCTTTAGAAGCTTCTTGAGACAGAAGATGAGGGAAGTAAAACCTTGCATTTTCAGTTCTTGCTTGTCTGAAAATGCCTTGGTTTACCCTCATAATTGATTGGTAGGATGTGGAATTCTAAATTAGAAATAATTTTCTTGGAGAATTTTGAAGGAAATATCTTCTAGTTTTCAACATTGCTTTGAAAAAGCCTAAATGTCAATTTTATTCCTGATTCTTTGTCACCTGCCCCCAACTCAGGATCTTTAAATCTCAGATGTTGTAAAATATCGTGGTAATGAGCCTGGTGTAGTCATTTGTTTCTTCATTCATATCGTTGAGCATTTAGGGGCTCATTTAGTCTTCATAAGAAAATTCTTCGGTTCTAAAATTTGTTCTGATATTTCTTAAATTATTTTTCTCCTCTTTTTCTGTCTTTTGTCTTTCTTATAGTCAGAGTTGGACCTCATTACTTAATTCTTTTTTTAAAACTCCATTCACTTTTATTTCTCCTTTGTTATGTCTTTGAGAGTTCCTCAATCATTCTCTTTCAGCTCTTCCATTAACTTTTTGAAAAAACTTTTCATGCTGGGCATGGTGGTACACGCCTATAATCCCAGTGGCTCAGGAAGAGGATTACAGGTTCGAAGCCAGCCTCAGTAACTTAGCAAAACCCTGTCTCAAAATAAAAAATAAAAGAGGGCTAGGATGTGGCTCAGTGGTTATGCATCTTTGGGTTCAATCCCTGGTACAAACACACACAACTTTTTGCTATTTTTAATTTCTTCTTTTAAAAAAATTTAAAAGTACATTATTTCATGGATGTACTGTTCTTTCTTTCTGATGATGTTAATTATAGGTGTTTTCCCCACTGAGTCTTCTTTGCTTTTTCTTGCATTGCTTCTGATTCTTCCAAATGCTTCCCTGTCCCCATTTGTTTGCTGCTTTGTCTTTTGTTTTTTCTTCCAGTTTATGTTCCTCCTAAATGTTCATGTTTAAGAGTGAAGCACTGACTATGGTTGGAATCTGAGTAGGGACAGATGGGCTTCATAATGTGGAAACTAGATGGAGTCCCAATTGTTGTATCGGAGGGGCTTCCAAATATCAGGTTCTCCAGAGAAGAATCTCCAGGCTACTTCTTGGGTGGTATGAGTCTGGCTTCTAGTCTTCTAGCTGAAAAGGTCAGAGGGTATCCCATCATTTGAATGCAAACTTTAATTTAAAACTTTAGCTTTCAGTGTAGTGCTGATCCAGCCTCAGTGGTCACTTAGTGCCCTGAGTACAGGTTCAATTCCCCAGGCCCTGCAGGAGACTGGAATGCTTACTTTCCCCAGCAGGCCACCACTGCGAGAGGCAAGAGCCCCTTCCTTGTCTCCTGTTGTTCCCCTATCATAGCACTTGTAATTCTTTATATTAGAGTTGCCTGTTTCCCTTAAGGAACTGAATCCGATCATTTTCTCTCTATTAACTTAGGTGCATTAGCTATTTGTGTCCTGAGGCTTAGCCATATTCAGCCAAATCCCATCCCAGAAGCCACAGATTGATTCTCTGGAGAGGGTGAAACAGCTTTTAGCTCTGTGGCTTCTTCAGCTGAAGAGCCTGTGGGCAGAAGGCACCAAGGAATGCCTTTTGAGAGTTACTGGCCTGGTATTTTAACCACATAATAAGAGATTATCCCAAGTCAAGGGTAGGGGACTTTGAACCAGCAGTCACAAAGTTCCTAGGAGATGTAGTAGTTTCTCAGATGAAAATAGGAAGTTCTTATTTCTAATGAGTCCAGAAGATAAAAACATACAGACATTTAATGTCTTCTTTTTAAATTTTTTAGTTTCAGATGGATACAATACCTTCATTTTATTATTATTTTTTTAATGTGGTGCCTAGGATCGAACCCAGTGCCTCATGCATGCTAGGCAAGCAGCACTCTACAACTGAGCCACAACCCCAGCCTAACATTTAATGCTTCTAAACACAGCATTGGAAAGCTATAGAGATATATGTGATATTTTAAGTAGTCAGAACAGTGAGTTTAGTACAGACTCTGTAGTTCAAAGTAGACTCTGAAAAACTGGCTTTGGACCAAGATTGTTTATCTTGTTTTCCTTTCCCATTTGTTTTTTAAAATTTATGTATAGGTTTATTGGGCTTTCTTGAGTTATAATGTATATACCATAAAATTGCTTATTGTAACAAATATGCATATTTTAGTACATTTTTAGTTGTATACCTGTGACCATAATTAGAACATTTAGAATTAGAACATTCTGTCATACCTACCCCTAAATCCCTTTTTCCATTTGTATTCATTCCTTAATCCTGTCATCTACTGTCTCTGTAGATTTATCTTTTCTATGCCCATGGGATTTTTTTAAATTGAGTAGACTTTCAGCCACGCCTCCTGTTTTCATCTCACATTTACTTTCCTTCTCCTGGCACCTGAGCCACTTGTTTCTGAGCCTTTGTGGAGAGGGATTTATATATGTCAGGTTGTTTTATCTACTGCCAGTTTAAGAGCATTTGGGGTATGCAAAGACTGTATTCATTCACTTGCTTCCCAGCTTCCAAAATGTCATTGATGTCTTTTCTCCCTTTCTGATTTTTCTAGAGTTCATACCTTTATTTATCTATTTACTTGTTTTTTATTTTTTTAGTTATAGGTGGATACAATGTCTTTATTTTGCTTTATATGGTGCTGAGAATCGAACTTAGTGCCTCACGCATGCTAGGCGCGTGCTCTACCTCTGAGCCATGATCCCAGCGCCCCCTCTACCTTTTTAAAAAAATGTTTTGTTTTGTTTTTTTTTTAGATGTAGATGGACCTTTGTTTATTCATTTATTTCTGTGGTGCTGAGGCACGAACCCAGTGCTTCACACATGCTAGGCAAGTGCTCTACCACTGAGCCACAACTTCAGCCCCTAGGGTTTATACCTTTAAGATGACAACAACAAAACCAAAAATTATAGTATCTTTTTTTTTTTTTTTTTGTACTAGGGATTGAACCCAGGATTACTTAACCATTGAGCCACATCCCCAGCCCTTTTTTATACTTTATTTAGAGACAGGGTCTTACTGAATTGCTTAGGGCCTCACTAAGTTGTGGAAGCTGGCTTTGAACTTGTGATCCTCCTGCCTCAGCCTCCTAAGCCACTGGGTTTACAGGCATGCGCCAACGTGCCTGGGTGTAGTGTCTTTTTAATGGGGTTTCAGGAATGGGGTTGGGGGGGAGTGCATGTGTGTAATTTACTACCATCTAGAACCAGAAATCTTCCAGTTTAATTTTGATTTGCCCTTTTGCTTATTTAAGGTTGTGAAGACTGGAATTTCTTGGCATTCATTTGCTGCTCTAGAGAATGTAGAATCCTGACAGACTTGTGTGAGGTCAATATGCCTTCACACACACATTGGTCTTTTCTAACTCAGACCCTTGGTGTTCTAAGTGGGTCATATGAAATTATGGGAAGCTTATAAGGAGCCCACGTGTGTACACAAATTGGCATCTGCTCCTTATTTGACAAATTCTTAGTTTGGGTGCCCCTCATTGGAGACATCACAAGGTTTTAACAGGTATAGGCTTAGCCATCTGTACCTTTCTTTTTGTCTCACCCTTTGTGTTTTGGCTTTGCCTTATGCTTTTCTAAGTCTTAACACTTTTCTTTCTTTGTTTTTCCTATAGGATCATGGATTTTCCTGGTCACTTTGAGCAGATCTTCCAGCAGTTGAATTACCAGAGACTTCATGGCCAGCTGTGTGATTGTGTCATTGTAGTGGGGAATAGACATTTTAAAGCCCACCGCTCTGTGCTGGCAGCATGCAGCACACATTTTCGAGCTCTGTTCTCAGTGGCAGAGGGAGATCAGACCATGAACATGATCCAGCTGGATAGCGAGGTAGTGACAGCGGAGGCCTTTGCTGCGCTGATTGACATGATGTATACCTCCACCCTCATGCTGGGGGAGAGCAATGTTATGGATGTCTTATTGGCAGCCTCTCACCTGCATTTGAACTCTGTTGTTAAGGCATGTAAACATTACCTAACAACAAGGACGCTGCCCATGTCTCCCCCCAGTGAGCGCGTTCAAGAGCAGAGTGCCCGCATGCAGCGCTCTTTTATGCTGCAGCAGCTGGGACTAAGCATTGTGAGCTCAGCCCTCAATTCCAGCCAGAGTGGTGAGGAACAGCCAGCCCCCATGAGCTCATCGATGCGCAGTAACCTGGACCAGCGGACACCCTTCCCTATGAGGCGCCTTCATAAGCGCAAGCAGTCTGCAGAGGAGCGGGCCAGACAGCGCCTCCGCCCCTCCATGGATGAGTCTGCCATTTCAGATGTCACAGCCGAGAATGGGCCTTCAGGGGTTCATTCTCGGGAGGAGTTCTTTTCACCAGATTCCCTGAAAATTGTGGATAATCCTAAAGCTGATGGAATGAATGACAACCAGGAAGATAGTACTATGATGTTTGACCAGACTTTTGGTGCTCAAGAAGATGCCCAGGTGCCTAGCCAGTCTGACAACAGTGCTGGTAACATGGCACAGTTGTCCATGGCCTCTCGTGCAACTCAGGTTGAGACTACTTTTGAGCAGGAAGCTGCAACTGAGAAAAGTGGCTTCCAATGTGAGAATCCTGAGGTTGGCCTTGGTGAGAAGGAGCACATGAGAGTGGTGGTAAAATCTGAGCCTCTGAGCTCACCTGAGCCTCAGGATGAAGTGAGTGATGTGACCTCTCAAGCAGAAGGCAGTGAGTCCGTAGAAGTGGAAGGAGTTGTTGTTAGTGCAGAGAAGATAGACCTCAGCCCTGAAAGTAGTGATCGGAGTTTTTCAGATCCCCAGTCCAGCACGGACAGGGTAGGTGATATCCACATTTTGGAAGTTACAAATAACCTAGAACATAAGTCCACTTTTAGTATTTCAAATTTTCTCAACAAGAGCAGAGGAAGTAACTTTAGTGCGAATCAAAACAATGATGATAACATTCCAAACACCACTAGTGACTGCAGGCTCGAGGGCGAGGCCCCTTACTTGTTAAGTCCAGAGGCTGGGCCTGCAGGCGGGCCCTCCTCTGCCCCTGGCTCCCATGTGGAGAACCCATTCAGTGAGCCTGCAGACTCCCACTTTGTCAGGCCCATGCAGGAGGTGATGGGCCTACCCTGTGTGCAGACTTCAGGCTACCAAGGAGAACAGTTTGGGATGGATTTTTCCAGGTCTGGTTTGGGCCTCCACTCCTCCTTCTCCAGGGTAATGATGGGTTCCCCCCGAGGAGGAGCCAGTAACTTTCCATACTACCGCCGCATTGCTCCCAAAATGCCAGTTGTAACTTCTGTCAGGAGCTCACAAATCCCGGAAAACTCTGCCAGTTCCCAGCTAATGATGAATGGGACCACATCCTCATTTGAAAATGGCCATCCCTCCCAGCCTGGCCCCCCACAGTTGACCAGGGCATCTGCTGATGTCCTATCAAAGTGCAAGAAGGCCTTATCAGAACACAATGTCTTGGTTGTAGAAGGAGCTCGCAAGTATGCCTGCAAAATCTGCTGCAAAACTTTTCTGACTTTGACAGATTGCAAGAAGCACATCCGCGTTCACACAGGTGAAAAGCCGTATGCCTGCCTGAAGTGTGGCAAGAGGTTTAGTCAGTCCAGCCACCTGTATAAACATTCCAAGACTACCTGCCTGCGCTGGCAGAGCAGCAATCTTCCTAGCACTTTGCTCTGACTATTTGTCCTCAGGAGACAGTGCCAGCTAGTTGTGGGACTAAAACTAAAATCGTTTGGTGGGTGGTTAATGCCATTGGGTTTGAGGCTTCCGCTGCCCAGTGGCTCTTGCAATTTTCAATGACTAGTAAGTGGACAACTGTTCATGTAGCACTTGTGCTGCAGCATTTCTGAGTGAAATGCGCATCTGGGGAGAGGGATGTGATCCCTAGAACCAAGTTCTTCCTTAGGGTTGAGTGACATAGTCATAAAGTAGTTTGTAATTGATGTTAAAAGTGGCACACTTAAAAATTGAAGTGCAAAAAATTTTTTTAGCAATTTTTGTAAAGCTCTGTGAAGCATTTAATTACATATCCTATATGTAATGGGAATATTGTATCCCTGTACAGCGATGCAAAGTACACTTATGTGTAACCAGTGGCAACTTTGTGCCTGTCTGAAAGGAAGGCCCTTGAAGACAGGCCTGTTTGCCACAAATGCTTTAAAGTGTATCCTGAGCTAGTCCTAGGCCTCAGAAAGTACTGTATTTTTTATTTTTGTCTGATTTGCAGTCATAGATACTGCACTTTGGTGCTGACACTGGGCCCAGGGCAAGCATTCTCTTAGAATAGGTGTATATACTTTTGAATACATCTCTGTTGGATAGATGTTTTAAAAGTTTCTGGTTTTAAAGGCCAAGTTGTAAACGGAGTATGTACTTATATGGAGTGACAAGTAAGGTATTGTTTCTGTGTGTGCGGTTTTAGCAGTATTTTAACCAACTCGTATTACTGATGTCACAGTTCATCTTTGAAAGTCAGGAAAGAGCTAGTGTTTGTCTTTGTTCTGATGATGTGGAGTCATGTTTTGTGGGGTTTTTATGGTGCATTTACCTTTTGCTCCATCCAGACCTCAAAGGCCAGTCCAGTCTGACGCATCCCACCCTCGGACAAGCCCGTTCTCTGCTTCCTTTCTTCCTGTACCCACTATGGCATCCCTCCCAGGCCTAGATTCCTGTTTTCAGTTACAAACTAACCAAAAATAATGCCACCCCTCCATGGGTTTTATTATTGTTATATACCATACTTTAAAAGTATAGACCCTAAACTTTTAGTTTGTTCTCCCAACTGAATACTGAGTGTAGTTTGAAATCCAAATGTGGTAGTGTTCATGGACCAGTATTTTCCAGGCTCTGTAAGAGAGTAAGGCAGTCCATAGCACAGAAGTCGCCAGGAGCATTCAGAACTGTTGGGAGAAGCATTTGGGTCACTTCCCAGGGCCTTTATGGGCCTTCTTGTCTCACTTGCCCATTTGGGTCAATGCCCAGGGCCTTTCTGGGCCTTCTTGTCTCACTTGCCCAGCTTCACCTTGCTGTCCTCTGACACCATGCTATCGAGGGCTGTTGGTGGCACCTGTATCAGGCCACATCCTGGCTCACATAAACCAGGGGAAACAGCACAGGTTCATGCATCTCTGTCGAACTCAGTTAGGTTCATGCATGAACATGAGTTCATTTTATTTTTTTAATATGGCTTTCTCAGAGATACTAAACCATTTTTGTGCATAATTCAGAGAATTTATTCAGTTCTTATGTTTAGAAAACTAAGTATTTATGTGTCACCTAAAACAAAACTGAACGTGTCTTCTCCTCTTAATAATCTAGTGTGTGCAGTTACAAATCTGTGGATAAGCCCATAATGTTCACAGAGGGCTTGGCATCTCCTAGGAACTGATTCCCAGAGAGGAAAGCTCAAAGGGAAACCTGTGACTTTTCCTTTTGAGCAGATGTGGGAAAGACACCATTGGAGGATATGGGGTCACCTGTGAAATCCAGTTCTACGTGTGGCTCATTGTCAGCAGTCCTTATCCAACAAGTTGTAAGGGGTTCTACAGCTACCACCACCATGTGACGTAGGACCCACATCCTGTGAGGAGTCAGATGGGTCAGCATGGAGTACAGGAGGCCCTGCCTGGGCCTAGGGCAAGAAGCCAGTGACGCTGGCAGAACAGTGCAGCCCTCCTTGCCTTCCATTTTGAGGAGGTGCTGCCAGGAGCCTGTCCTCTTGTCCCTGCTCAGGCATAAGTGTACTTTGCTTTGGGGCCTGCCTCTGACACTCCTGGAGCCTTGCCTCTCCACTGCTGGATGGAACCTGGAATCTCATCTACCTCTTAGTTTCTACATGTGAGAAGCGAGCTTGCAGGCCAGTGTCCCTCCACATGCTGTAGCACTTAAAAAATAATCCTAACGTTCCCTGAAAACCAGTCCCTGGGTTCCTATGATCTGGAGTTTGTACCTGGATTATCTGGTGTTGGGGACCTGAGTTTTGATTGGTTAGCCTTAATCACAGCCTGGCATAATCATGTAGAATCTCTTCTGGTGATCACATCATTAAGTTCATCAGGGCACCCATGTCAGTGGTGCTATGCTGGTCAAAAATTGAGATTTTGAAATAAAAAATTTGTCATATTTATGTCTGTAATTATGTGTTCTTTTTCCTTGCTTAAGTTGTTAAGGTTGAAACAAAATAGGGAAGTAGTAGTTATTTCTCTGTTAGCCCTGCTTTGACTAGTACTTTTTAAAACTGAGCCCTCTATATAATAAAATTGTCAATCCATAACAGTAATTAGGTCATTCCACTCAAATTATTCCTTCTGCTTTCTCCAGCCCTTCATGTCTTTGAGCTGTGGACTTGGGTGAGCTCTCATTCTCAGTCCACCCACTTATTCTCGAGGACCAGCTCGACCATGGACTTTGTTCTGTACCTGCCTCCCAAGTTGAAATCTCCATTTGCCAGCATGGCTTGGCTGGGGAAGAGCTAGAAGCTGATTCAACACAAAGCAGGACTTTGGCAACAGCCCTAGTGGCCTGGCCTTAGGAAACAGTGAGTAAAGGTTGATTAAAAAGCACATCTAGCCAGGCACAGTAGTGCAGGCCTGTAACCCCAGCAATTTGGAAGGCTGAGGCAGGAGGATCACAAGTTCAAAGCCAGCCTCAGCAATTTAGTGAAGTCCTAAGCAACTTAGCAAGACCCTGTCTCAAACTAAAACAAAAGAGTCTGGAGATGTGGCTCAATTGCCTCAAGCCCCTCCCCCCCCCAAAAAAAAAAAAAAAAAGCACATCTAGCCAGGCTCCCATGGCACACACCTGAAATTCAGGAGGCTAAGGCAGAAGGATCTTTCAAGTTCAGGGCCAACCTAGGCAATTTAGTAAGTCCCTGTCTTAAAATTAAAAGAGCCTGGGATGTTGCTTAATGGTAGAGCACCCCTGGGTTCATCCCCAATACCAAAACAACAAACCCTAACTACCTGGGGGGCAAAGCACAAGATGAACAAAAGAAGCAAAGTGTTGATGCAGAAACAAATTTTGAAATTAGGAAACTCACCAGCTTCCAATTACTCTCACCAAGAAAAGAAGTGAGTTGTGACCTGCCCAATCCTTTCTTCCAATTAACTTGCCTTTGCAATATGTTCTCTTTAATTTCTCTGATGATCTAGGTGTCAGGTTCAGGTGCCATGGTTAACTGGGCTGCGCTTGGTGAGGGATAAGGGAAGAAATTAAGGCAGGATCTAAACATTAAAATGCCCAGGTGAGGGCTGGGGTGGGAAACAGGCAGCTCATTAGATGCTCTGAATTAGCAAAGGTAAGCAAATTGTCCTTTTGTTAGCTTCTGCCAGTCACAGGCTGAGACAGTCTCTCAGAAAATTATTTAATAATAGAATTACATGCTTTTGGCTCAGGTGTATCAAAGCACAAGAGGCAAGCACAACTGGCAGCACCAGTCTGCCCTGGCAGGATCAGTACAGAGCAGACTTCCCCGTGGCTCTTGCCTGTGGGTCCAAATTCAGCCGGGTGTGTCCAGTAGAACCTCAGGGCACTGTGGCTTCGGTCGTAAGGTCTCTTGTCTGGCTATAGCTTGAGTTCACTGGGCATTGGCTCCCCTCTCAGACCAGCTAGCAAGTTGTTAGCCGCCAACAAGGACATGATGTTGCGAGTTCTGTAGGTGGCACTGCCTATGTGGGGTAGGATGACTAGAAAAAGAGGAGATAAGGACAGCTCAAGACTGTAAGCCAGGTCTCCTTCCATGCCATGGATTTTCCAGTAAGAAGGAAACAGAGAACCTGCCTCAGTGTTGTTCTGTTTGCCTTCCCTCCTGTCACTCCCCCAGGCCTGGGGTTCACAGTAACAGAAAGGGGCAGAGGCTACTGAAACCCAGACACAGGTGGACCAGCAGATTTTGTAGCCTAAACACAACCGGGGCAAGGTGTAAGGGGCCTTGGTGCCCATCTAGACCCACCCCTTTGGTCACTAGATGGTGAAACCAGTCACCAACTTAGCTCAGGAGCTTAGGACTCTCCACCCACACCCTGTGACCCTGGAAGGGATGCCACAGGGCTTTTGACCCAACCCTCAACCCCACTCAGAGCAAGTGAAGTCTTTTGTCCCTGAAGAGTTCCTTTTGAAGCAGTGCCCATGGTGCTGAGCTGGCTCCAGACCTGAGGGAAAGGGGCCAGTTTTCTGGCTCGGAGCAACAGCCCTGACATTACAGCCAGTGTTCCTTGCAGGCTGGCATGGGGTGGGGAAAGTAGAATTTCTGAGGGATTCAATAAAGAGAACATTCATTGGGAAGACTGTGAAAGACTTGTTTGCATTTCCATTCTGGAATGTGAATGGACAACCCACAGCCCTGACCACTCAGTGAGTCTGGAGGCAGAAACCATAGCACTGTCTGATCAGAGAACTATAAAGAATTGCTATTAGGTATAAGTTGTTAACTAGGTAGCTGGAGAGGCAGAAAGCATGCACTAAGGCTGTGGTTCTCTAAGGATGGTACCAAGACCAGCAGCATTGGTGTCATCTGGGAATCTGTTAGGGGTGTGCACAGTCTCAGACCCCAGCCAAGACCTGCTACTCATAACCCCTTGGGGTGGGGCCCAGCAACCTGTGTCGGCTCAGTCCCTCTAGGTGATCAGCAAAGCATGAGAACCACTGCACTCAGTTTCCCAGATAGTGACTGCCAGAAGTTAGGGGGAAGGGTGGGATTGCTGAAATGCAGAAGGCTGAAGGAAGGGCCCTAGGAGCTAAAACTCAGACTCCTGGGGTGCCACTGACTGGTGAGGCCCCAGAAATGATTCTCCTGATGCCAGGGCAAGAAGTTTCACAAGCCACTCCAGGCAGGCAGGCAGGCAGATGGGAAGGCAGGAGGAAGCCGGCATCCAGTGCCCCATACTGACGAACCTGGCAGCACCAGAGGGCACAGGAGAAATGGGGTATACAGAGGCCCTGCCCTGCCCACAAAGCAGAACAGAGAAGGGGGTCTTTGCTGAGAGAACAGCTTTATAACTGGTACTAGTTTTAAATACTAGTATTGTCATTACTTATTTCTCATACACTGGGAATAACAATTTATAGTAGTGGGATTTACCCATGGAGGTTGGGGTAAGATATAAAGCCAATCCACTGTTCGTCTTAACAAATCCACCCATTCTCCTTTAGGGACAAAGAGTCACTAATAGCCTGAACATGCATGGAGTTTGGCTATGCCCCTTGTGTTCAGCACTGTTCACGTAGCTTCACACCCAGCCCACATGACCACCTCTAAACACTGGGCCCACCAGGCAGTGATGAGCGTGTGGAATGCAGGGTCCTTACCACAGTTCTTCAGGGTCAGGAGTGGGTGGTTTGTAGGCAGTGGTTCCGGGGTCGTCACGTCCAGTCCAGCAGCTGCAATCTGACCACTGGCCAAAGCCTGGTACAGGTCATCCTGGTTTACAACATCTCCCCTGCAGATGACAGTTGGTGATATGGGTGCCCCAATGCTCCCTCCTTCCAGGCCACTTTTAGGGCAGAACAACCCACAAAATGAATTTTTCCACTAACCTAGCACTTGGTAGTGACTTTTAAAGCAATATATCTTAGAGTACACTTACAGGAAGTCTTTTTCTTTTTTCCTTTTTTTTTTCTTTTGGCATAACTGGGGATTGAACATAGGAGTACTCTACCACTGAGCTACACCCCCAGCTCTTTTTACTTGAGATAGGGTTTTGCTGAGGCTGTCCTTGAACTTATGATCATTCTGCCTCAGCCTCCCAAGTCTTTGGAATTACAGGTATGTACCATGGCACCCAGCAGGAATACAGATCTTATACTCAGAGAAACCCTAATCCTGACACTTTCTAGGCAAGTGACCCTAGTGAAGTATCGCACTTCTCTGAACTTCAGGCTCCTCCTCTGTAAGACAGAATACCATCTAGCTCCCACTTATATGCACTATGGCATAAACAGGGCCCAGAAGTCTGCATTTGTTTTGGCCTTCTTGGCGGTGTTTCTAATCAGGCTGGCCCCAGACCACCCACTGAGAACCACAGCGTGCCATCAGGCACCTGCCCAAACAAGGGCAGAGAAATGAATAGATACCAAACTGTGTCCATCAAAGTGAGCCACTACAGAAGGAAAGAACTGAATTTCTAGCAACTTTAGAAGGCATTAAATCATACATGTGCACAGTACTGAGCACCCATGTGTGCTCAGTAAATGGCACACATGGGTGCTCAGTAAATGGCAGGCAGGGCTACCATTGGCCACCAGCGCAAGTCCTTGATTCTTACACTTTGCACTTCTGTGTAGCTAAACACTGGAAACTACAAACACTTTTGGGGTGCATGAACCCTCATCCAATTCCTTCCTCCAAACTGATTTAAAAGGTTCAAAGGGTATCAACTGGGAAGGGGTTAGAGTGGCAGAGAAGGGAGGTCTGCCCCCAGTACATGCCCAGTTACCTGAAGGCACACCTGGGGATATGTGGGGGAGACAGGAGGAGTTTTAGGGTCTGACTCCACAGAAGCATGAAGGTTCAAACCATCACTGAGCTCCTGGCAGGCTCAGCAGTGTGGGAGGTCAGCCTCCAAGAAGCCATCCAGATCAGAAAGCCCAACTCTTTGTGGTAGGGAAAGACCTGCCTCAGGATCCCTGGTGACGTGCCGCCAATATCAGGCCTTCACTCCCCGAGCCACACCACTGTGTGGCTCTGACTGCTTTTCTTCCTATCCTGCTGCGTGGCCTTAACTATGTTTCTGAGTTGCTGGTCCATCAGTTGGTTTATGGTGACGGCAAGCTCAGCCTGAGCTCTCATCAACAACCCACAGGGAATAAAACCCCAGACTACAGCAGCCATCGGGGAAGCCCCTCTCCAGGCCTCCTGGGTGACCCAGGGATGCCCGGTGCCTTAGGCTACCTGCTGATGTTGACAAACACGGCAGTTTTCTTCATCTTCTGGAAGAAGTCCCTGTTGCAGAGGCCCTTAGTTGCAGGGGTTAAGGAGCAGGCTACGACGATGAAGTCAGACTCCGCGGCCAGTTGGGCAATGGGCACTAGAGATGGGCAGAGCTCCATCAGAGGCTGTGTCCAGGTTAGGGACAGCAAGATGGTGTACCCCCAATCCCCAAAACAGAACCTCCCAAGACACTTCCTGAA